TGATCACCATAGCCTTTCTGCGTTACGGGAGCTGCTGCAGTGTCGCTCTTCTTCTCATCTGCTTTCACTTCGGTAGTCTTTGAATCGCCTTTGCTTGTTTCCTCTTCCTTTTCTTTCGTTTTTTCATCAGGCTTACTAGATTCCGATTTCACTGTGGGTTTGACAGGGGTGCCTAGAAAGCCAAAATATTGGGGTGATTTAGATTATAAAAAAATTACCATGTCCTGCTTTCTTGACAGCATTTTCAAAGACATCCTTGAACTTATTAGCAATTTCAACGCTGGCAAAACGTGCAGAGAGCTTTTCGTGGGTCTTTTCCTCTTCCGAGAAATCTTCGCAGTACCACATCATTGCTTTTTCTTGACGAGGCATCTGCTGGATGGTCATTCCCGGCAAGAGTTGATGATTTGCACAGACTTTATGCACCTGAACACATAAGACATAGCGTAAAAGCAAAAAATTACATAGCAGAAATCTTTTACTTGTTCTCTGCGCATCACAATGCGGAACTTGTTGGTCTTGGGATTCTCCAGCACTTTCATCGTCCCTGTACCACGTTCCTTCCATTCCTTTGTTTCATCAGCAAAACGATATAATTTACAACGTTCTTCAAACAGCACCTAGGATGATAAACTTGTAGGGAGACGCAGGTAAGTAAACCAAAAAGAATGGACCAAACTATGTAAGGCTGCAGCATTTTCGAGCAGCAACCAAACTTCAACAGTTCTTGAACTAACCTTCTCATCTTCTTCACCAGTAACTACTTTCACAAGCTCCGGGAGAGGGCACACAGGCTTAAAATCAACTTGCGGCTCAAATTCATCAACATGTTCATGCTCCTCTTCATCATGACCATCTCCATGACCTTGTTCTTTCTTGATGGTGGTCTTCGATTCCGGAGCTATAATAATACGAATTGCAAAAACAAACGGTTCTGGGAATGTAACTAACTCTTTGCAAATATGTTTTCCGTTTGCTTCACACCAGAAAAAATAGAGGTCGCAGGTTTGGACTCCGATGATACTGGAGTAGCCGCAGGTTTTGGCGTGATAAAAGAGAATGCTGGTTTGGGTGGTGTTGCCTCAGTCTAAAATGGTGATATCCATTAATAGGTGTTCATTTCAATGTTCAATAAGTTTTATTTTGCACTAAGAAAAGACGAAAACCATCAATGTACTATGAGCAGTATAAGTAAACT